GATTATTTTCTTGAACATCAGTTCAAAATGTTAAGCACTACTTCAATGAATCATTAACTACTATATTAACGTTTTTTTTTTTAGCTCAAGACAATTTTAATTCAAACAAAATTTCTCTTTTTTCAGAATTTTTGGGCGGGAGTCATACAATATTTTTACTGGAGCTCCATCTTTAAGTAAGTTTCTCTTCTATGAAACTATTATAAATGTGTGTATCTAAAATATAAATTTGTCTCGATTTTAAAAAAAATGAATCGACAATGTAACAATAAAATTATTTTCAATTTTATTCCAATATCTTTCCACTGTTGAATAACGAAAAGCACACCTATCATATCAAAAAATACTGAATTTGAGAATGTCACTCACATATTAAAGTTTAAATCAGATTCAATAATCCTTGCCATGGTGGCTTTTAAAAAACATTTTCGTAAGTCCCTATTACCATTTCTAAAAGTACAACACTGTTTAATATGGGGTTTTTTAAATGAAAAATATTACTCAACATTTAGTAAAATTTACTTCGTTCAGATATTTGTTAAAAGAGAAAGTATGCGTTTTTTTTGGTTTCCATTCCTGTCGAATTGCTATGTAGATAGTTCATCTACGTAGATTCGTATGCACGCTCCTCGTTTACCATAGCCGTTCCACAATCAGAAGAAACATGACCTATTGTCTGGAGTACCGAACCAATCCGCATTAATAAATGCCAAGATTGCCTCCGTGCTATTCTCAACTCTAAAAACGCTAAAATCCATTCGATTGTAATTGTAGTATAGGTATTAATAGAGATGACTATGCACACAGAACAATAGTGCTCTCATAACTTCTTGTGTTGTAATGGGAGACAGGAAATTGAATTTTATTATACATATTATTTATGGATCGTTTAGTGTTTGACATTAACAATTCATTTTTATGTAAAATTTTGAACTATCTTTAAAACATCCGTGTTGAAAAAATTAATTTTTTTATGTTTTAAATTTAATAATTGGGATACTAGGTTTCAATAAAACATTTTCGTCGCTAAATAAAAATATTCGCTGTTCTATATAATGTTGTTAGCAGTATCATGTACTTCTTGTTATTTATATTATTAATGGTACAATCGTAGGACAAATGTACATAAAAGTTTTTAATTGTCAAAATATTACCTAAAGTATAACTTTGAATGTAGTCTAGATATGAATGGTTTAGAGCTGTATTTAGGTTATCGTAGCGACTAGCTAGCCTTTATTATTTAGCGATTTTAATATTTTATTTTAGAAAAAACCGAAATCTAAGAAATACCCTACGAGACCACTTCCCCTCCTAACCCTCACGATCCTAACACAAAAAAAACAAATAAAATAAAAGAACGATGTAATATCTTAGCGATGTTGCCTCTTTTTTACGCACAAGAAGCTTATTTTTATTTTTTTTTTTTTTTTTTTTACTACTTATAGATGTTTTCTCTATTTGTAGCTTTTTGTTTTTAGTTATTTATTTTTAGTAGCGTTTTTTTTATTTTATTAGCGAGTTCCTTCTTATATATAACGCCACTATTTAATTTTATTCTTTTTAGCGATAATATTTGTTTTTTAGCTAGTATTTTGAATATAGCTTTTAGACTATTTTTTAGTTTTAGCAGCTTTAGTATTTTAGCGTTATTACGGTTTTTTTTTCAGTTATAGCTTAGGACGAGTTTAGCATAGTTTAGTTTTTATTAAGTAGCGGTTTTTAGGTATTTATTTTTAGCCTTTTTTAGTTTTTTAAAGCGTAGTCTTAGTACTTTTTGTTTGAGAGTTATTTAAAAGGTTTTTTAGCGTTACATTAGCGATTTATCTAAGCGTTTTCTAGCGACTATTAGCGTTTTATTAGCTCTTATTTTTTTTTGTTTTCGTATCAGCAGTTTTTTTTTAGGAGAATATTTTGCTTAGCGAGTCTTTAGTACGAGCGATTAACTAGCGTATTTATAGGGAGTTAGCGTAGGAGATTTTCTTACCAGATCTAGTAAGCGATTTCCTGTTAATATTTAGTTATACAGGTTTTTTTTTTTCAATTAGTTTGTTTAGTAGACCGTAAAAAGAGTTCTTAAGTTAGCTTTTATTTTTATACTTTTTTATTTTCTTAGCGATATATATTAGTAGTTTATTTTTGTTTTAGCGTCTGTATACGCTTAGCTAGGATTAGCGTATTTTTTAGTTGTAGCAGACTTATTAGGTATGTTTTGCTTTATTAGCAGCTCTATAGTAGCTAGCTTATTAGCGATTCCTTTTAGTGTAGTTTTTTTCTTTATAGTATTAGCGAGTCGATTATTTAGCTTTAGCTTTTGATATCAGTGAGCATCTTTTCTTATTTTATTGTCCTTAGTAGTTATTAGACTTTTTTAGCGTTTCTTTCTTTTTTAAGAGGCGAGCGAGTTTTTACTTTCTTAATTTATTTAGCACAGGATTAGCTAGAGGTAAAGTGTCGGGCGATTAATTTTTTTAGAGCGGCCTTTTTTTATTTTGTTTTAGTTATAGTTATTTTTTTTATTTATAAAGGGTGGTTAGCGTTAGCGAAGCAGCGTTTTTTTGCTTATATTAATTTATTGTAGCTTTATTTTAGCTTGTCTTTTATGCGTATTATCTAGTTTAGTTTTTATTTGAGCGAGTTATTTTTAATTTTTTTTATTATTAGGTGTTACTTAGCGATTATTATATTCTCCCTTCTTTGAGGTTGCTTTTTTTTTATTTTATGTATTTTTTAAGGTTTTAGCGATTTTTTTTATATGTTAAAAAAAAAAGCTGATATAATATTTTATGGTATTTTTTGGTATTAGGGCCTCCCATAGTAATTATTTTTAGTTTTTTTTACTTTAGTCCGGTTTAACGATTTTATACTTCCACAAACTTTTTTTCGGAAAGTTTCGGAAGCGATTAGTAATAAATAAATGAAACGCAGCCGATATTCCCGTGTAAGAAGACAAGAGATGACATCCCCAAAACCTTGTCAATTACGTGAGACCCGTAAAAGAATTTTGTGCTTTTGTCCGTTTTTTTTTCCCAAGTGGAGGTTGCGTCATGAGAAGTTTCCAGGTCGTACTTATCTTGTCAGAAAGGGATCAGGCTGCCGGGCATCTCAATGTATGTATTGCAGTCCCGGAAGCTGCCGTCGTGTAAGCGTCCGAATCACTTCTACTTCTCAAAGAACACTACTGCACAAATGTTCCATCTTAAAGTGCAAACAGCTATATTGCACTGAATACATTTCGAATATTAACTCCATTATACAACACGTTATTTTAAAACTAATTTCACCATATATATTTTGGCTTTGAAACGGGTAAATTCTTAGATCATGCTTTGTTTAGCTTTGCATCAGAAAAACTCCCCCTTCCTGTGATCCGCTTGAATCCACTCGGTTTGACAGGGTCGGAATTAAATCTTCCTTCAAGATTTTTAAAGACTCGTGTTAAAAACAGATTAACATCTCGTTACAAGTTATAAATCAAAAACATTAATTGAAACAAAGTTCCCCCCCCGTATCTCGATGGGACGGTTGTAAAATTATATCCAATTCCATTATCGGTGAAAGGTAATGTTTTTATAAAAAGGCCTATAGTAGATCATGTTGTATCAGCTAAATTCTCAATGCTGACTATAAATTCCGTAGTGTAAGTGTAAACGTTCGTCGAGTGAGATAGCTAATCGCATTCATTTCCTACGTGTCGCTCGTGGTAGTGGAAGAGTAAATGAGATTGTGGGCTGACGGCGCCCTCGCTCCAGAGGAACCCAGTCGCCAGTCAAACTAATGTATATACTCCAATAATACGTTATACATGTGTTTGTCTATCACACACATATCATCAAAGCATAGTTAGAAATTAAATCACCTAACATCACAATAACCTCGATGTGTGTGTGCTGGAACTCTTGTCCATCAAAATGTTGTAATTAATTTAATTGACAGCCTCGCCTATATTTCAAAACTAAATGTTTTGCAAGTTATTGAATTCCAAATTTGTACAAATGCTGGTACGTACAGTGGTCAGAATTTACAAACAATCTATATGCGCGGTCACACAAGTTTCCTCCATGGTCTTTCCTTACACAATTAATTTGAGTCCATAAATCCGAATAAAAAGTCATGGGCACTGAAGCGTGCGTCACTCTTTAAGTATTTCTAGCCCTTTGTTACACCGACCAGATGTAAACAAATAATACATTTTTTTCTTACTTGATTAATTAATTAATCGTAAGAAATTCTATTCATAAATTGTAACGTAACTCTCATGAATATATGAATCGTAAATCGCGTATGGTCTAGATTGGTTTCAGAACATTGTGGTAAAGCGAGCCGCCGTAGCCAACGAGACAGACAGCAGCGTTCTCGGCGCCCCGCCTGCTAGCCCCATTAAAAAGACGTCTACCCGATGTGGAACGCTCGATAAACTTGTAAAAACGCCCTTCAACCATTTAATTTTATACCCTCGCTTAAGCGTTGCTATTGGCAGATTTTCTTCCTTCTTTTATAGGTCCGTCATTAACTGTATCGTTTAATATTTTGTTTGTGTTCGTATCTGTAAATAGTTTCTGTCAACTTTTCTATTAGGTTTTAAAAAACTTGCCCTGTATTACTACATGTAACTTGGAATAGTTTAAATGATACGTGTAATGAATATTTTTGATCTTCAATAAATTATTATCGATAATGATCTTTCGAGGGATGATCATGACTACTGAAATCATATTAAATTATCAGATTTTCTGATAATAATATAATTTACTACTCTGATAAGCAATAAAAACTATATATTTATAATGATACATAATATATCTGTTGTTGTCAAGTAAATATTGTAATTTTTTTACCTATCTCACGCCAAACTGTCTTTAAGTTATATTAACGTTTTATTTCGGCACTGTAGGAAATTGCCGCAAAAAAAATACCTTAATGAATCGTTTCACTATTTTGGCAGTAGAGAATTGTCCTGCCACGAGATATGTACGTTAATGGAAGTTTCTTTGTGAATTTGCCTATGTAAGTCTTTGGATATATTTAAGTTTTCCCTTCGGCAAGCCGTTATCGCGTTTGGCTCTCAAACGATGGCGCGAGCGGGCCGTGGGCGGGACCTCCCACGCTGGGGACTTAATTTGTTGCTCTCCTGGCACCTCGCATCTCACTTTCAAAACGGCGTAACGCTCGACCTTACCACGGCCCGTTTTCACATGCTGTGTACGTATCGTGTTCCCGTTTATCACTACACTGCCAATAAAATGTGTATGTACGTATATTATAATATTTTATATTTCGTTAATGTTGACTGAAAGCGATGAACAAATAAGAGGCCCTACGTTATTCAATGTAGAATTAAAAACAATAAATGTTTATAATTAATGTGTAAACTTTTGTTCTACCTCTAACAAATGCTTAAAAATTGTTTATAGTGAAAAATGTTAATTTGCCAGTTCATATAAATATCATTTAAATATAATTATAGAAAGTATTCTGTGAATGAATCGGGAAATTAAACGCTAAATAATCGCAATTTGGAATCGGAGTGACCGCGACGGACGCGTAACTCGTTAGACCTACATAAATTAGACTCTGCTTCGCCCACTCGACTATGACCGATGACGATACAGAAGGAGAAGCCGCGCCTACGTGTACCGACCGGAGCTAATACCTCTTGGGGGAAGACCTAAATTTTATTAGAGTCCAACATTTGGCAGTGGGTGCAACTTCGCGGCTTTTGGGGTACATAACAACTAAACATACGTTAGTCTGACCGCTTATCGATTCGTTGTAACTTTAACTGCATATAAATTTTCCGGTCGCAATATAGATCAGTTTATGTCGAGTATTTAGTTATTATCTAACCAATTTGTTTATTTAAAATTTACTCTTAGCAACTATGTACATATTTATTACTATACAAACATAAGTTCATAATGTTGCTCTATCGCGTACTCAAACTAATTCATTCTGGATCGGTCGTTATGCAATAATTAAGATGCTATAATCTGATAAGTATGAATTTCCACGACGAAACTTTAACAATACACCATTCGTATTTCCTAAAATTTCGTCTATACTTTTATAAAGTTTGTTCAAAATCGATACAGCAGCTGCAACGATTACACAAGACATGATAAAAAATAAATAAAGATTTAAACGATGTTTTTGTCTTGGCATTATGTAAATGAGCACCTGAAAAAACATAATTTTTTATTACATACAGACAACAATTGTATTTATAGATAAAAATTAATTGTCTTTACTTACTGAAAAAAGTCGCAAAATTCTGTTATTGCATTTCGTTACACAAAGTTGCCCATTAATTTACATCAATACGCTTTTTGCATTTTCATTAGCGTCGCAGTCGGAATGAGTTCTATTTTTATCATTCGTTATCATACAGGACGCGATCAGCCGCTGAAAGCTTTTTGAAAGCACCCACCGACGTGTTATGAAACGTTTATGTTTTCTAGTTTTCAACCTAAACCGTCGCCAAATTAATTTATTTTTGTCTTTCACTGGGGATGGTAGCATATTATCAGATCGCGTGTAATCTGAAACACCTAATGAAAATAATAATTAAGGATATAAAATGTAAGAGTAAGCTACGAAACGGAACGTAATAGCATTAATATTTACCATTCAAAAAATTAATTTTATTTCATTTCAATGTTAAAGAATTGATAGTATATGATTTATAGTAAAATAATTGCGTCGTTGCCGCCTGCTACTCCTAATGTTTTCTTAATGCTGTACGAATGCATGAAGTTGTCATATTATTCACTGCTGGCGATGGCATTTTTATTTTGATGTTCATATTGCAACAATTCAAGCGGTAATCGTTTTTGTTTCACATACATCTGTGGAATATGAAATACGACTTCATTCATTTCAATGACTACCAACAAATTAAACGAATATTGTATTGAAATCTTCAACCAAAATTGCACTTTTCAAGTCATTGATACACAGAAGACACGAACACTGTTCCATGCACGGAATCCACACTGACAAATTACATGTAGACAAAATTGAAAGATTATAAAAGAGAAAAGATATTTTTCGTCATTACGTATACAATGATAGTTACAAAGCACTGTTATTCTTAGCACACTCATTCACTGTCCGATTGCAGAAAATTAATTGATTTATGTTTCCTTTACAACATTATTAACGGTAGTGTTAAAATGTGAAAATTGTTGTCTACTTGAATTGTTCATATACAATTGAAGAGGTCATATTAAAAAATAAACATTTTCTTAAGGAAAGATTTGTTAGAATTAACATTATGTGTAGCGACCTATACAGAACGATGCCAGGATACCTATGACAAAACTAACTCGGAGATATCTTATTTCTGTGCAAGATTTTTGGTTATTATTTTATAATTGTTTTGGTGTTATTATTGTTCTTTATTATTAGGAATTATTTGATGATGTTTCCTTTTTATCGTTTTAGTTAAGCTTAAATAGTATTTCTTTTTGGATTCTTATCGTTTTATTAGTCATACTTTTACATTAATTGCACATTAATTACTAATTTATGTAAAGTACTAAATTAAAAAGTAAACATACAGTATATGAAGTGGGATTTTTTTTAAATGGGATGTACAATTTTTACATTTAAGAATATTAGATTATTTTAGACGCAGTAGTAACAAATTTTATCCAACGTGGGGCTCGTATTCAAATTAATAAATAAATAAAGCACCTATCCCTTATGTGGAGATTGATGTAAAAAGTAAAACAGCATCTTTTGCGTGCCGCTGCACATCGCATGGAGTTTGTTAAATATGTAAAAAGGCTACATTTGAACGTGAGTTTTTTATTTGGTATTACCGCCGTCGCTGCCGGCTCGCCGGCTCTCCTTTTGTTCTTCGGACGTGATCTGGCCGAGATGAAGCCCACGTTATTGCTCCGTTTCTAGCTTCAATCTAGTTTGTTTCTGCTCGTCACACTTTACTGCTTTGCGTATTATCATCACTGAAATGATTTTCTATTTCGATGTACACGATTTTCTATCGTCGGCTGAGAAATTTTAACGCCCTTTGTTTCCATGATGTATAAGATTGCATTACATTTTATGCTATTCGCTCTGCTGCCATATCTCATAGTTTCATGAGGCTTCGCTTCCAATATAACTGAAAGTGACTAACGGTTTTTTCGGTATGTTTTAGAAACAGAATATTTAACATCTGTAAATTTTATAACCGATATTCTACGTAATCAAGTAAAATGTTTTGGAGTGAAAAGAGTAAAATGAATTTTATATTTTGACATGTATGTAATTAAGAAATAAAAAATAAACAACAATAGAATCTTAAACCGCATCAAAATAAATAAACGTAAAGAGATTAGAATGAATTAAACATTCCACATGGCATTGCCGTGGGTGTTCAAATGTATCACAGTTATTCTAAATGACAATAACTGAATAATTAAGAGAGGAGGCTGTGACGCATATCCAGATGTCAAAACAGTGAGTGGCGCCGATGTTCCAAATACTCTGAAGTATTTATCTGAGTATCGCATGGCTGCGGCCGCACTGACCGCCGGGTTATTTTTAGACTCGCGTGTACATTCACTGTTGCGATGAAATTTAACAGCAATCGCTCGCCGCTCGCAAGGCATAATACCGACGATGACAGTCTTGCCAATGTATTGTAAATATATGTTCTTTTCATTAGCTTAAATTGCTTGCAATGCACTTTACTAATATATTACACTATAAAATATGTGGCCCTAAATAATAACTTAACCTAATATTATACAAAGTGATGAATTTTATTTAAATGTCTGGCATGTTTACAAACATTCTAACAAATTAATTTAAGCGTTTCCCATACCGTGCACACCCTGATCATTGTTCGTCAAAATGTCATTAGCCGTCCGCAGTTTTCCCTGTCAGAGCTGAGATTTTAACTTGCCTTAGTGACTGATTATCAATGGGTAGGAGTTGGCGGCAGCGACAGGTGGTCCTAGTGATATTTCAACTGAACTCTGATCTCGTTCCATTTATGTAGTTCTAACACACTATATTTCTAATTATATACTAAAAACTAATAACCTTTTATTAGAAAAAAAAATACATTTTTAATAAATTTTGTACCAAAATTTTTTGGTGATAAAGTCCCACGCTACGCGGCCCGACGTCTAATAAGGCGAGGTCAAGTCACAGCTCATGCATATTCAGGGGCCGGCGGCGGTTCCATCTGTAACGGCCCTGCGACCGGTTGTATGAGCTCATTGTTGCATATATCCGTCCATACGTCCATATGGCTTAGACGAGCGCCGCTCCGCGTTCGTGGCGCCGCTTGCACTGTCTTACTCCGCTTTTTTGTTTATTTGTTTATACGGTGCAAGACGCGCTAATAGAGCTGATTAACTGGTTCGATCACTTTTAATTTCATTTACAAAAATTATAATCTTTTCACTCTTTCACAAACATCACATTTTCGTAAAAGTATCGTTCCAAATATTTTTTGTTTATTTCTTGAAGAATCATTCTTCATTATACGTTTTACAATATTGAAAAACAGCAAAAAAAAAGTTATTGAAAGCTTGTTTCTCGCAAAATAATAAATAAATAAATGTTTATTAAGATTATAATAGTCGAGTCAGTTGTTAAACGCCGGTAGATATTTATATTATAATTAGGTGCCAGCGACAGCCATCCATGAGGGTGCATGCGTAATATGAAAGTTTTAAACACATTATACCATTTAGTTTCTTAAGCTCATGAAATAATAATTCAAAAAAAACTATTTACGCAAATAAGTTTTACTAAATCTTATTATTTTTACATGAAATAAGGAGTAGGTACTTTATGTAAAAAATATTTTTTCTTTATTTCGATTTTAATAAACAGTAATCCCAATCGATGTCATAAACAGAAATAAAGAATTCGATTAAAATATAATTTACACAAAACTTTTCAACAATTAATTTCAAGAGACAGTTAAATAAAGATGGTGCATAAATGCATTTTACCATTTTGAAGGATCATTAAATTGCGAATTATACAGCTCGGGCCGTCGAGAGCCAATTAAAAAGAACTGTTAGACATGCTCGTAAACTAAAGTCATGTCTCGTCTGATTAAAAAGAAAAACTAACAAAATCTTATCGTATTACATTTTAGTAGCAATTGATCGTCTTTGCGCATTTAAGTGTATGGAACATTCTGAACGAAAAGCTAATAAAATACGGCACATATGTAAAAAAAGTACTTTTAATTCCTAACGATTTAA